TAAGCAGTCATTATAAGAAATAGAAAAATCAGAATTTAAAATTTATAACAGCAGAAATCATTGGCACCAAAAAAAGTCTATTGAATACATGGATTTGTTTTTCATTTCAGATTATCATCACTTCCTTTTCTTGGCAACACGTCATATAGAACTGAGGTAGAAGAGGGATGAAGTCAGAAGGCTTCAACAGTAAGTTTGACATGAGAGTAAGACTTTAAGTATTAGTATATGTTGAAAATAAAAGATAATCAGAGGGTTTTATTCGGGATTGGTTTTAGCAGACTTGATAAGCAGCCAATCAAAATATTTTAACAAGCAGTAAAATTTTTAACCAATAAAAGTTTCATTCAACAGAATTGGCATTAAAAGATTGCACAATACATTGTTACCGAAAAATAGAAGAAAATAATAAAAAAGTGTAATATCATTTACATACACTGACATTTTAATTTTCTTCAATCTTTGAAATTTATACAAAAAAAACTTTCAAACTTGATCAAAATAACTGTTTCCAAATATATATTACTCTGTATGTCATATACTAAAAATTAAACAACAAAAATTTTATTTTTTTCACCAATACAGTATGATTTTTTTATCTGGATTTCTTAGGAGGCGATTTTATTTCATGATAAGCAATGAGTGTGGTCATAGTTTTAACTGTATTGATACAGGCACATACACAAGGATACAGAAAAGCTAAAATTTATACATTTTATACTAAAAAATGATAGGCAGTATTAATTGAATTACTTAGACAAAAAATAAAAAATAAATAAAAAAAACAAAAAAAAACTATAACTTTCTTATAAACTACATCTGAATTACATGATAATGCTGACCAGCAACGTGAATTTACACCACTCAAGAGAGCTTTAATTAATTTTTTGATTTGTAATAAGGAAAGAAGCCAGAATCATAAATAATGAAGATATTTTGGCTCATTATGGATGCACAAAAATGATAGTATTTCCCAAACAACTTACCAGTCTCATAACTTGTTTTGAAAATTATCTTAAGAAATATATTTGTTAATGGCTTCTTAAAAAGGGCACAACTGTAATCAGGAACATTAACTTTATTATGACAATTTAATAATCTAATTTTGAAAATAATCTAATCGCATAAGTGCAGCGATTGCTACAAGTGTAATTGATCAATTGGAAAAATGTTTAGAATAATATAAATATCTAAGCATAAAGGAGAACATTTTTGTACCATCTCTAATAAAAAAGAAATTTTAAATTCAACAGAAGGGAACAAATAATAAAAGATATTTCTTACCTTTTTTTTAACAGTAATGATGTTAGGCATAACTGGAATTTTGTTTTTTTTTTAAAACATGATGGAGAATCTGCAAAAGTTTGATAAACTGTCTCCACATTGCAGAATGATTATGAACTTTGTGGAATTATTACTTAATACTATTTTCGAAAGTAGAATATAATTTACAGTAAATTCAAAATGGCAGTAACTGAGGAATTAGCAAATGTAACAGATGCAAGGGAGATAATTCATTTACAGATTATTTTACGTATATATGCCTGATTACTATAAACAAACAAATACGTTATCAAAATATAAAAAAAAATTCTGTACAATTTTTTTATTAATGGAGTGCATAAATAAAAGCATCTTCACATTATATTATGCTAATGTAAATAAGAGATGTATGACATTTATATTATAAACCTTCAATTAAATTCTCTACTTTTTTTCTTTGAAATTCTGCAAATATCTTATTTCCCTTGTATATGCTGCTTTCAATTTTCATTAGTAACTTTATCTGTTATTAAGAAGTACACAAGTCTTACCATAAATACAAATAAATGACTAAATCTTGTCAATCTAAATGTTTAAAATTTTCTCAGGTGCTCAGATTTAAAATCTATTTTCTGAATAAAAGTTTTGAACAGAATATGATCACATTAATTAACAAGCTATTTCTTTTAAATAATGACATTTTCAATATTCTCTTTAAATTCTTTTTTCAATTTGAAATGACCTTCAATACTGCTATATGTAAAATTTTCAGGGCCACAGGTTCAGCGCTTAAAAGAAAGCCACCTGGAAAACCTCAAAGCACTAAACTTCTGGGTGCTGGAAAACTTAAGAAATCATCCACAACAGTGTATGGCAAATAGAAGCTACCAAGAAAAAAAGAGTGAAATTTTTTTAATAGCAGTTACTTGGTCTTTTTTGTCAACCTATAAAAATTTTGGAAGTATTTCTGCCATGTGCTGTATTAATATGATGTAAAGTTTTAGTTTTTAGTATAAAAGAGTGACAAAACCACCATCCATGATTTGTATGAATACTTCAAATCATCAAAAGATTTGTAATTAAAATTATTGCAAATTCCTCAATTTTAAAATCAATCAAACCAAAACATTTTTGTTAGAAATGATAAAAAGGTAAGCATTAGTAATAATAATGTAATGCAGGATGATTTTTTTTTTTTAATAATATTAATTTAATAAAGGCACATAATGTATTGTAATAAAGTTACAGGAGTAAAACAGCTCTTTGCTTGAATATTTCAAAGAAAATATAAGAGGATATCATTAGTAGTCACATTTCAAAACATTTTTAAATAAGCTGAATCAAACGACTTTTGAAATTATATATATAATAAATGACAACACCTATTGATATACATAAAATCATGTAATTTGATGTATATAAAGTTGAGCAGAATTTTGACAAGTGTTCAATAGATATCTAGAGCAATAATTATTAACAAAAAATTCATATTATTTATCTATGACCAATTAAAAGTTTTGTGATGTTAACAGAGTTTATATTTTTATAAACCAAACCTATATGCCTATCTAGATGACTCATGTTACACCTACCCGACCAAAGCTCAATTAGGACATTTAAACACACAAGGAAACCTACCAAACTCCATTTGCAACATACTACTAGAAAATACAAGTATAATAGCCTCATCCACATGTAAAATAAAAAAATTAAAAATAATGGAAGCACTAATAGTAAAAAAGAAAAAGTCAACACTAAATGACATTCACTATTAACACAACCACAATGTGCTGACCACGTTTGGAAAATAAAACATTCCCATATCTTCAGACACATACATAAAAAACACCACATATTCTGTTAAAATAAAAAAAAAGCCAAAAACGCTTGGACATGTAGAACTTTTGGACAGTTTTTACACACTTTGTGCCAAGAAAACACTTGTATGAACAGAAGAAAAATTAAATAAAAAGCTTAATCGCAGTACTTTATCAGTCATCTTTAACAAAGCTTGTATAAAAGAGAAATACACAATATATATGTGCATGCATGTGTGTGTGAATAAAGACAAAAGGAAAACTTTCCTTTAATCAACGTTTTGTCTTCTAATGGACTTCATCAAGACAAATGTAGGGATTTCATTTTGTAATATGTATTTATGAACAGAAGTAAAAATTTTTTAAATTTAACTGAAAGACAACATAATCTATAGAGGATGCTAAATAATATAATTTATTGCCTAATAAACAAAAGGGAGTTATTGTTGTTGCTCAATCTTTTTTATAAATGTAATTATTTAAATTGGTAAATTATTTATTTTAAATAATAGGTTTTGATTTGACCGTTTTCATTTAATTTTTTAAAATTTTTATGGTCATATATATTGGCTTGGAAAAGGAGTATATCCTTTCATAAAGGACTTATTTGAAAAAATTCCGGGGTGTAGTTTACATTTTGGCAAGATTCAATAACAGCATTCAACAACTTTCTGTCTAAGTTATTTTCTCTTTTAATAAGTATAGCATTCTTTAGATTAGAATTGTGGTTGAACTTATTTCTATGCATGACTAATGCATTTGATAAATTATTATGTACATGACCCTTTTTACCTTCACAGATTAAGTTACGTTTTTTTTTTTTTTTTCTATTTCTGCAAGTTTCTAATATATTGTAAGGAACAGTTACTGTTGTGATAGTTTAATTTATATATATTTGCTTCAGAATTATTGTTATGGACTTGGTTCATATCCTCAACAGTTTTGGATGTGGCTGTAATTATTTTGATATTGTTAAGATTGGATAAATTGTTTTGAATAGTAGATGTTAAAGAGTTAGTATGTAATATTAGATCTCTGTTTTTATCTAGTTTATAGCCATTGTTGTTGCTAATAATTATATAGTTTTTGTAGTTGTATATTTTGTATGCCTTTAGTATTGTGGATTAAATAATGTGAAAATTGGAGGTTTTTAACAGTGTTTTCTATGTATATTTCTTGTTCAGGTAAATATCAGAGACTGCAGATTCTTATTGCTCTTAAATAAAATCCTATAATTAGAGATTTTAAGCCCGATCAGTAAGCATTGATAAGGCTGAAATTCATGAAGATAAAAGAAAAGTACTCCAAAAAAGAAATAAATTAACAAAAAATAAATATTCTTATGTGACTACTGCTTAACATTAATCATTTTTAAGACAAGTATTTGATGACAAAAAAAAAAAAAAAAAAAAAAAAAAAAGTAAATATAATTACCTTATGGCAATATACAAAGCATTAAAAGTAAATGCAAACTCATAAATTTGAAATATTTACCATTTCACTCAAAAGATTTATAAAACATGTAAAATGTTTGGAGAAAAAAAATCTCTCCCCACTTAAAATATTATTCATAAAAATAAGTAAAATGTACATTAACAAATGATACCATATAAAAAAAAAAAGAATTTTTTCTCTTTATACCTATTTTTGATAGCATTTCAAATTTTTATAGAAACATAAGCAATAAAATTAGACATTTTCAAAAAATATTTTTCAAATCATTGAAAAATTCCTAGTGTATATAGAATTTTTTAAAAAACCTTATACATAACATTTTGTTAAATTTAAAGACATTAATTTTTTTTTTTTTTAACTGATGAAATATGTAACAGATTCTTTTAAATCTTAAGATTTAAAAAAAAAAAAAAAATCAACAAAATATTATTTGATGATCAAAACCTAGGAAGGAAAAAGTTAATTCTAGAAGTTTCCAGCAATATTTTCAAACATTTTGGATATAGAAGAACTAGTAAATTTCATGAAAGAATCCTGTAATGAATCAGGTGGAGGTGGTGTCCACAGGTAAGTCCGAACTTCAGCAAATTGAGTACCTAGCAAGAGAACAACAATGTTGTTGTGATGATCCATTGATACATTGATTGGTCGAACATTTGGACCAATCCGGAAGGTGTCCTGCAAAGGGCATCCTAGAGGGCGTCCCTTGGGGCTAAATGCTTGAACACGGAAATTTCCAGCATCAGCTACAATGACATTGTTATCATAATCAGTACACACTCCCATAGGATTCATTAGCATACCAATATTTTTTCCTTTCTGCCCAAAGCAATACTTGAATTTTCCTTCCATTGTAAACACTTTTAGACAATGATTTCCCGTGTCAGACACGATAATGTAATTTTTATGATTAGTGGCCACGAATGCTGGAGAACTGAAGTGCTCATTTCCAGCACCTTTCCAGCCAAAACTTTTGGAAAGTCTCTGCTGTTCTGTGAACACATAGACACAATTGTTCTCCAAACTGGTGACTACAGCATAATTACCCACACCAATTGCGACACCACTTGGCTTGGCATAATTGTAATGAAGGCCTGAATATTCTCCCAAGATGGCTCCATGTAAACTGTAGATTCTCAAAATAGCATTCACTGAAAAACAAAAAAGGAAAATTCCTTTAATTTTACATATTTCTGCAATCCTTAAAATATAAAATAATTAGGGCAGAATGATTATCATTTTAAAGCAATAAATAAGCATCTTGAAATTTGACAATACTTTCTGTCAATATTAAAATAAGACCTTGATTGATTGATTGATTTGCTTTTTATAGCTTATCAACCCTTTGTCTAAAACCAAAACATATTTTGGAGCTTAAGAAGAATTCTTTTTTTGTAAGTGAATTTCTTTTGAGAATAATGATTTTTCCAGATATAAGTCTTACTATTTAACCCATAGCTTGGGGGATGAAATGGATTCACATCTTTTCCAAGGGCATTTGCATCATAAACGAATGTGATGAACTCAACTGGAATTCAAACAAGCCACTATCCATTACACCAACCATACATCTATTAAAATAATGGAAAAACTGGAATTTTCAAGTTGACCGATTTTATATTTTAGTGACCAAGTATGAACTGATGTTTTAATGTATTTTTTCTTTTTACACTTATTCACATTAGTCTGTTGCCCCCCCCCATTATTGTATGTTCATAAAGTATTTCTTAAAGTCATATCACATTGAAACATTAGTTTTCATATGATCACCAAAGTTAAGCAATGTCAAACCTGATCAGTAACTAGATGCGTGACTGCTTGGGAATATCATGTGCTATAAGCCTGGATGTGTGGGTGGTGTAATAGATAAGAAACATTACGCAGATAAAATATTTTTAATTTTATCTATTTTTATAGATATGTAAGTTACAAATTGTCTCAGTGATGCAGAACATTTGCCTAACATATATAGAAGAAAGAAAATGAAAAAAAAAAAACAAATGAAAAATCCAATTTTAGATATATTATACTAACTGGATAGTTTGCATCTTACAAAACTGATCCATGTAATTATCTCCAAATAGATAAGTTTGTCAGAATAAATTGTCAACTAATACAAGTTATTAATATCTTGTAAAGTTATTTGACAAAAAAGCAGAAATGGCTTGTAAATTTTAACGCCTCCAAAACAAAACTGCATTCATTTAATCACCACAGAACCATATCTGCCTGACATCAGTATAGCTGTTGCTAAAACTCCAAGAGAGTAACACTTTACAACTTGTTGGCTCCACATTTTCTATCAACATGAAGTAGAGCAACTATATCGAATCAACTGCTACATCTATTGAAGGAAAAGTTGGTTCACCGTATCATACTAGAATTTTTTCTTATCAGAATCCATCTTGCACATTTACATATCTACCATTTGTCCATGCATTGATTACTGTTGCTATATCTGGTTTGGTGCCTCTGATGTACATTTTGAAATTCTTGACAAAATTCAAAAAGAAAGGGTCTGTAATGTAATCGATCCTGACCAGGCATCTTGACTTCAGTCATTTTTTCATCAACATGATATGGCTTCCCTTTGTCTTTTTTTACAAATATTTTCATGGCAACTGTTCTGATAGGCTTTTTTTTCCCTAGTTCCTTAGCTACATGAATTTAGATTGGCAACTAGGTCTCATCATTTTAATGTTGAATTAGCTCAATGTAACCACCACTTCTACTCTAACACTTTCTTTTCTTGCACTTCTCGCTTGTGAAACACCCTTCTGATTTTTTGCTTCACTGATAACTACAACCTTCAAAAATTTAAATGCAATATCAATCGTCATCTTCTATCTTCTGAACCCTGTTCCTTTTTTGTCCTTTCTTCAATCATCTCCACTAAAGTCTTCCTATTCTCTTTCACTCCCTGCATTTTAGTGGCATTATCACCTTGCTTGAAGTGAAACAAGTGAAAATATACTTTAAAAATCAGGAGGTCAGTTGAATCTGCTACCTTGGTTTCAACCTTACGGTATCCTCAGGTAATTTTTATCAAAAAGATTGAAACCAAGAGAATTTCAGAGAAATTCAGTTAAAGAGAGAGTGGATTAAAAAAAAACGGTAAAATGATGGTTATAAATTGATAAAAATAGTCATTTGCAAAAGTTATTACAGTATAGTACTACAAATTGAAATGTCAGAGATTTTGTGTTCATGAGACTATTGGCACTTATATCATTACCTAGAAGTTTGAAAACTTGTTTCCAAAGAAAAAAAAAAATTTACAAAATTCACAACACCCATTATGTGACTATTTAATACAACTAAACTGATACATCTTTTATGTGTTGTGCACCTTCAAGGTGTGGACGGTCTCTCCACAACTTCCTATCTTTCATAGCTCTTAGCAATATTAGTCTTTTTACTATCCCTCCCACTCCCTGTTCTGCCATCCATTTACACAAGTTTGTTAGGTAGGTTACTTACTGTTGCCTTCTGTGAGTGTCAAATTCTCTCTCTTCATTAGGTGTCCAAGAAAATTCAACAGTCTCTTTCTAAGTATGTGCTTTTTTGTTTCCATTTTCCTTAAAAGTTACTTGTTGCTCTGTCCATGGTATTCTCAGCATTTTTCTGGAGACACCAGAGACATGCTTTTAAAGCCTCATTTTCATTTGTGAGGAAACTTTCACTGTCATATAGAAGGATTGATATTATTCAGCACTCTTCTTTATTTCTAACAAAATTTCCTGCTTTTTAATACTTTGTTTAGCTTTTGGGAAGCATCTTTCATGATTCCAATAACAGTTCACCATGTTTGCCATTCTTTTTTGAAGCAGTTACTGAATTTTGTTGCTTGGTAGACAAGTTAAACAAACAGACAGCTTTACCCTACCAAATCAGTCTTGTAATATGATAATTATGTTCATTATTTACAATATAAATAAACAAAAATGATTAGATTACAAAGAGAAGCCTTTGCTAAAGGCCACAAGAATCAAACCCAGAAGATACTTACGAGCTTTAGAAGTGGCTACTAAAAGTGAGCCATTCAAGAACAAACTAATGTCATGAATATCACAGTCTGTAACTATTTTGCCAAGGAGTTTTCCTTCCTCAGAAAAATGGAAGATTCTGCTTCCACTCTGATCTGATATAAACACATCTCCCTGAGTGCTTACAGCAAGTCCATAGGGTTTTCGAAAATCATTAACTCCACTACCATATTTTCCAAATTTGATCAAAAGATTATCTTTGCAAGGCTCAAGATCTATGGCTTGCTCTTCAGCTTCAAGTTCCATTTGTAGATTGGCTTTCTCAGTAGTTATATCAGGATACAACATGGTGGTTGGTTGTTTTGAAATGTTTGGAGGTGGAGGCCTGGGAGGTTTGCAAACTTCCTGAAAGAATAAAAAGAAAAATAATTCATTTAAACATTAAAAAAATGTTCAATAACTGTATGCCTTACTTTCTAAAAAAATTACTTTCCATGTTATCTTCAGCCAAAGATTATGCCCACATTAGCTAAGTTATTATATATATTGAGAGGTAAATTACAAAAACAACATATTGTAACTATGATAAAATTGGCATTCTATTATGACAGTGATTTTTAAAAACATGCATGAATGTGCTGTTATAGTTATTTTAGAATTTTTACATTATCCATGTAGTTATGGAATTTTTTACAAAACAAGCACTTCAGTATAAGGAAGCTGACCAAGAATTAGAAAAAGTCAAAAGTACATGGGTTAAAAAAACTATGGCACCTTCCTTGGTAAATTTCATCTTAACATCAAGAAACTGATGAGACAATTGGAAAGGATCAGTATAAAACTAAGTAGACACAATATATTTATATTATTCAATGAAATATATATAAATAATGTGTGTGTGTGGAAAATTTCAGATATAACTAAAAATATATCTGTAAAAGGGTAATATGAATAAAAACAAAAACTTATCTTAGTTGACAAGTTTCATCTCACATTGGCTTTGATAAAGTCCATCAGAAAATGAAATGCATTGTCTAAGTCTAAGTTTTTTGTCTTTATTTATATATATATATTTTAATTATTTTACCCTAAGCAAGGCAATAAAGCCACTAAAACACAAGAGGGTTACAGAGAGTGAGAGAATATGACAAAAAGAAAACATTATTAAGGAGAGAGTACAATAAAAGAGGAATCAAGAAGACAGGGGAGGGGCTTAATAGGGGAATTGAAAAAAATCATTTAAATGTCAAAAGTGTGAAATTAATAAATTGACTGGTTTTATAAACTTTGGGTGTATTATGAAAATTTCCTTAAAAAAAAAACAAAAAAAAAAAACAAAAACACCCCATCCTGTCTAAATTAGCCATTGTAATATTTAGATTACAGAAGATTACTATGTTAACATTGTACACTGATATCTTAAGTTTTCATTCAGTACCTTAAAAATAAAGCATTGTATTAACCTTGCTATGAACAAAAAATATACATTGCTTATACTTAGCTTTATATTCTCCTAACTTATCAAATTAAGAAACTTTGGTAAATGACATGTTTTAACTGAGAACTTTGGGATGAGCAAGTTGTCTGCATGATGAGTCCCAAGAATGCTGACACCAGAGCAGAAGCAGAAAAGGTTTGACATTTCCAGGACACCTCAAACTCACTTCCAGGCTGACCCCAAGAATTTCCACCACAAATTAGTAAATTAGTTTCAAGATGAAACCTGGGTTCACTACTTCAAATCTGAATAAAAGATTCAAAGCAAACAGTGGAAACACTATGGTTCCTCACCCCAAAGGTGTTCAAGCAGGTAGTGTCTGTTGGCAAGTGATGGTTTGTTTTTTCTTGGATTCTGAAGGTGTTATCATGATAGATCACCTGGAAAAGGGGAAAAATTATTAAATGGACAGTATTATGCATCAGAATTAAGAGAACTGAAGGAAGCAATCTCAAATTGAAACGCATAGGGAAGCTAAGGGCAGGTGTGCTCTTGCTCCAGAATAAAGTGCCCATTCACACTGCTCAGGTTGCAGTAGCTGAAGCAGACAACTGTAACTTAGAATTGCTACTCCACCCTCCTTACTCACCAGACTTAACTTCATCTGACTTCTTCCTGTTTCCTAAACTCAAATCCTATTTGTGTGGTGCACCAAAAACAATGAGGAAATCATATATGCTGTGTAGGAGTTTTTGGAAAACTAGAATGCCACCTTCTTCATGATGGGATTGCAATGCTTAAACATCATTGGACCATGTGTATTGATATCAAGGGGGACCATATTGAACTTTTTTTTTCTCCAACTCTTGAGGCTTAGAATTTTTTTTAATAATGCTTGTATGCTCCATAATTCATGGTCTTGAAAATTCTTGCAAAAATTAAATAACTTTTGGATTTTAATTAAATTTTCAGGACTTCATAAAACAAATGAAATTATTTGAAATATATATATATATATATATATATATATATATATACACACATATACACTCACAAGAAAATCTTGATAAAAGATACCCAGAAACCTCAAAAAAAAACTTATATGAACACCACAAAGATATTCTGCATAACAACATTCTAAACACACTGGTGGCTCGCCATAATACATTTGACCAGTTTTGATTTAAACAATGCCAGTCTGATAAGGAGAGAAGAAAATGCATTGAGAGTATGCTAATCTCACAGTTCTCAACAGTGAATCTAAAACTGGGGATATACATTATTTCACTGATCATCACAAAAACAATAAGTGCACATTATGCTATACAAGTTGGTGGAAAGAAGGACAGTGGCCTATCTGGAGTTCACTAATTTAAAAATCTACAGACACCAATGGCTCTAATATGTATCTATGTGTGCATGTATTTATGTGCATAAATCAAACCAGGCACCCCAATGCACCCTGAATTAAAATCCTACAATACCAAATGGCTTTAATACAGATATAGATAAAATAAAACAAAAGCACAGAGGCAGACAGACTCTTCAAATCTCAAGTCAGGAAGTGATAAGCTAGGGTAATTAATTTATGATGCACACTTATCCTCAAAGACCCAAAGATATTTTCCTAACATATAGTTTTATTTTTTTTTTAGTCAAATTGATGATGTCAAAGGAAACAAGATATCTCCAGCAAAACTCATCTTTGATAAAACATTTGTATCACCTTCACTTTTGTTTCAGATACTATTATGCATCCTTCAAACATTTATCTTATAAGGTACCTTCACTTTTTCACTGAAAACAGCATAGTGTGATAAAAAAGGCCCTAAAATTAATAAAAAGAAAGTTTTATCATCAAAACGTTTATGTTATCATTAAGAGGAAAGACCAAAGTAGTTTTTTTATTATTTTATTAAATTTTTAAAATTTTTTCTAGTTCATTCGAAACTTCTGTTAAAAATTTTTATTTTGCACTTTTTTCCAGTGAAAAACACATTGATTTGGAAATTCTTTGCAAAAATCAAATAATTGTCAGATTTCAATGAAACTTTCAGGACTTATTCACAAATAAATGAAATTATTTGAAATTTTTTTTTTTTTTTTTAGTTAATTTTTTTTTTTTACATTCCCCCCTTCGAAAAACACACACACACTTTAATTAATTTAATTGAATTTTGAGAAATTAAATTTTTATCAGAAAATTTTTTTATTATTTAAAAACAGGACTCCTTGGAGAATGTAAATGAAAAATATTTTTTTTCAAAATACTACTCATTTCCTGATGATCTTCTCCAAATTGTAAAATAAAAAAATGAAATAAGGCTATGATACTATTTAATTAGAAAAGCTTTTAATCGCTTTTATAAAAAAGATTTATTAAGGACACTATTGTCAGTGTTTGCTAAGTGATTGACAAGTGATGAAAAGCACAGAAATCACCGCTACTGTTTGTTTTAAAAATCCATTTCTCTGCTATTTTCAACTTAAAGTAAATAATATTTGTTTCAAATCAGATTAATTATACATAAAAACAGTTAATGTTCTTCAAATAAAGTTTCAGAAAAGTATATTTTATTTTTGGAAGATTTTTAAAACCAAGAATTAACTTTTGTTTACAAATGTGTCAAAAATGACCAATTTTAATGATTTTAATGAAAGTGACCAAAAAGTTGAGATTCCAATCCATATAATCTATTTGAAATGAACCAGAGTATTTTGTTTACTGAAAATAGTAAATTTAATCATTTAGCTTTCAATTAAAGCTAAAAAGAAAGTTTCAAGAATGCTTTTTTATTTTTCAAAATTGATTTTAAAACTTAAGTATAACAAAATTAGTGGGGGTTATATGCATATTTCAGTAGATATTTTCTCTGGTCTAATGTCCAGACAAAGTGCATTGGAGTAAGAAAACTGAAGGAGGTAGCATGTATCAGCCAGCGAATGCAAGCATTAATCTAGAATGGAATTCAACACCATGTGTTTTTTGCTTAGCAAAGCAGATGTTGAGAAGCTTCTCCTGACTAGTGTAGTTTGGAATTACTTGAATATTTGATGTACCCTTTCTATAAAAAATAGACCAGTCCAGTGGATATATTAATAATTTTTTGCTGGTTTTTCTATGAATTAGAGATTCCTTTTTTTCTCATTTAAGTTAAGTTTCCTTTTATGTGTGCATTTTAGATTTTATTGAACCAAATAGGCTTACGTGAAAAGGTGGAAGCTGTTTTCTGAAGAAAGTGGATATACAAAGAGGAACCAAACAATGGACTGCTGTTATTGTTGGTTAGCTCTTCGCTGTCACATGTTGACCATTTTTTATCAGTGTACAAGAGGAAACAAATCGTAGTAAAAAGGCTTCATTTAAAATACCAGAAAAGCCTAATTCAGAACAAGAAAATACTCTTAAGGAGGATTTTTTTATTGGCTGATTAGTCAAAGTTAAGTACTATTGAACAAAGAACAGTGTCCATTTTGGTGAATGATAGAAAATATAACAAGAAAACAATTTATGTGAAGACAAGTTGTTAAAACATTCAGTCAGGTGTTAATCTATAACAAATAATCAAAAAGGTGTGAGATTTTTTGCATGGGACAAAAGTTCACAAACAGATCTTCACTTAAAAGCAAATTCTCTGAAAGTTGACTACAAGACAGCATTGAACAAGTGTAGTGATTTTTATTTAACACACAAATTAGAGGAAAAAAAATAGTTTGAATAATAAACCTAAAAACTTACCCTTAATTTCCGAGTTAGAAATGTTAGTTTTCCACAAAAGGTGAACAAAGCCAAAAAGAGAAAGCTGTTCTAAAACTTCTGTCTGCAGTAAATCATATAAAAAATATAAAAAAGTGCCGGAAGTAACTTTCATTACAGCAACAATGAATCATAGTATTTATTACAACCAACAATGGTAACTAAATTAAAAACAAGTCATTTCCTACACTGTCTCATTACCAATGCGAT